CTCGCTGTTCGGTGATAGTTCATCAGTAAAGTCTATTTTTATTGACTGTTTTAATGACAATGGACTCTTGAACCTTTTGTGGTATTACTTAGGCATAAATCCACATTGAAAGGACTGTGGTGCTTTGTGAGGTTATGAGACGTTAAGAGGGGTTAGTTGAGCCATCCCACTATGACTTAATGTTTTAACATAATTAATCATTATTTATGGCTTGATAAATGTTAAGGAACAAGTAATGCATAATGCAATTAATTGATGTGCAAGTAATGATTGTAATGTGAAATGGAAAAAGTTTATCCATATTTCCATTTAATAAGTTTTATGATATTTTCGTTGTTAGTAATTAATATTAAGATGTGTTTAGTACCATAATGTATGATAACAATCTAGTTGTGAACGGGGTGTTGCAGACATAATTATGGAAAAGGAACAATCTGAAACATGACTAAATTAATTCAATATAGCAAAGAAAGGCTGTTATAAACCAAACCCTGTTAACCTGTGAGGTAAAGTAAAAGTTAGGTTAGGTATAAACTAAAAGTTAAAAAAAAGGTATACGAGTTAACCCGCCCTGTGGCGGGTTTAACCCGTTTTTGACTCGCACTTTGGCAGGGCAGGTTACACTTGTTGTAAAATATAACCCACCTTGCTATATTTAGTGGGAGGTACGGGTCAGCCTGTCGGGGCGAACGTGTTGCTGACCCTGCATACATTTTGAGTGTAGTTCACATGACAATTGTTTTGACTTCACACTTTATACACCAAGGGATCACTCGCATGCTTATATCTACCAACATTGCATATGCATAAATTACTTTCGTACTTCTCCTCCATTGCTATTAAGACTTTATATCTTTACTCACTCACATGTTGGTAACCAAGCTCTTAGCACACATCTCCTCTTTACTCAAGTATAACTTGACTTTATATCATCGAAATAGTTAGTAGAGCTATTGTCCTTTATGCATTCTCTCCAATCCTCTTAATATTGACCACTTCATCCTTTTGTGGGTTGATAGTCTATTTTTATTTACTAATCTAGTTGATTATGAAAAATAATATATGATTTATCAAACATCACTAATTTAGTGTATGAAACAAATTTTAAAACTATATCTTAACCTAAATCTGACATTTGATGCATAAGAAAACTAACTTAAAAAGATACAATTTCTATTCTGAATTTCACAACAATTGCTTATTTTTGAATAACCTTGTTTGTTTAAGTTGATAGTTTATTATTGATTTTGTCACCTCCATTGCCTTTATTTTTGTTGTCTCTGCCATTGTCATTGTTAGGGTTGGCAAAAGCGAGCCAACCCGTCGGGTTGGCTCGCAACCCGTCCTAAATGAGTCGGGTTGGGTTGGCCTAAATGAGCTGTCAACCCGATACAACCTGAACCCAAACGAGCCAACCCTCGGGTTAAACGGGCCAGCTCGCGGGTTGGGTATTTTTTTTAAATTAAAAAAAATAAAACGTTTGGTTTGAGCGTTTTAACGCTGAAGACCAGAATCATTTTCCAGCATCAGGGCGCTAAAGCGTTTGAGCTTTAACGTTTTAACGCTGAAGACCTGCATATTTCTGGCTTTGACGTGTAGCAGCGCGCTAAAACGTTCTGGATGGACGTTTTAGCGCTCCAGACCAACATCTTTTGACTTCTTTCTGTAGCAGGGTGCTAAAACGTTTTGGATGAATGTTTTAGCGCTCAACACTTAGATTTTTTTCTCTTCTTCAAAATCTTCTTCCTTCTCCTAGAGCCAACCCGCGAGCTGATTATCGAGCCAACCCTAACCCGGCTCGGGTTGGGCTGGGTTTTCTAGCTCGTTTATTTTTTCGAGCCAACCCTAACCCGACCCGATTTTTACGAGTTGAATGGGAGTTGGGCCGGGTCGAGCCGGGTTAGCCCGTTTTGCCAACCCGTCATTGTCATAAGTCATAACGTATAATACTATTGTTATTATTTTTTTAAATTTCTCAACCAGTATATCAATTAATCGACTAATTCGGTCGAGGTGTAAAAAAGATTTTACATCAAATTTTAGTTATTGATTCATCTGTATTAAATGAGTTACATATTCAATAAATTAAAATAATTAAATATAAATGAAACTAATTATTAAAATTAAAAATATAATTTACATTGATATAAAACAATCCATTTTAACAAAATTAAAGTTGTTTTAGGTTTGATCGAAACGAATGACTTGAGTGAAAAACATTTGATTTTTTTTCATTTATTATTTTTGAAAGAAAAACATTTGATTTGATGAGTTTGGTAAGGGTATCACGTACCTAAATTTACCAAAATATCCAAAAAATTTTTTGCCCATTTCATTGTTCTATCTTCAGAAAAAAAAAACACTTATATATTGCAATTAAAATAAATAAATATTGTATAATATTAGGGATTGTGGTTGAATGGATGAAATTAGGGATTGTGGGATGAAGTTGGGTATTTATAATAAGCAATTAATTGGGTAAGAATTGAAATCTAACCCATGGTGCGCTGCCACGTGTTTGGGTATCTATTTTATGTGCAACTAACTGCATTTGTTATATGATATGATATGTTTCAAATCGACATTAATTTAATAATCAATTATTTTAATTGCAATAAATAATGGGAAATATTACTCTCCTTTTGCATAAGATTACTTCTCTCCTACTCTCTCACTTCGATTTCCGCACCTCACTTTTTTCTTTTTTTTCTTTTTTCTTGTAATGGTGGGACCCACCCATTTTATCTCTACAACATAAGATACCTATCTTATGTTGAAGGAGAATAATAAAACCCATAAATAATATTTCCCCCCTCTAGATCTATCTTCTTGTTTATATATTTGCACGGTTACATTTTAATATATAAAGACAATTTAGTGATAAATTTGGCTTAAAAAAGCGACTCTCCCTTAAGTTTTTATTTTTTATTTTTTTTCTAATTATAATTTGACTTAAAATAGGGATTCTCCCTTAATTAGCATTTCAAGCTTTGGATTTGAATTAATTTACTGTGTTAGATGAATGTTTAAGGATTTAACTATGGACAAATAATTTAAAGAATTTTATCTTTAAAAATACGCAAAAATGAAGATTTAAAAAAAAACTTTTTATCTTGTCTTTAAAGAAAGTTCAGTTTCCTAATATTAATGTTGTTTATTACATGATTGGGGGTTTTAATTCATATTCCATATATCTTATGCATAATAAGAATAATTTAAGATGAAATAATAGAGAAGTTTTTTAATAAACATGATCGATAAAATTCATACAATTTTAATGAAAGCAAAAAAGTTTGGCACTAAATGTTTTCCATCTAGTTGCTATGTTATTATACTAAATTATTTAGAATGTAATTTTGATGCAAAAAAATTATTTTTTATTTATATTTAATGACATATTATCATTTTATTTAATTAGTGTAACGTATAATATAATTTTTTTTGGTGTAGCGTATAATATAAATTTTAAAAAACTATTAACTTGTATTTTTAAAACATATTAAGGAAAAATATAAAAAGTCATTAAAAAAAGTACAAGTATTTAATATTTTGTAAATTTAAAATCAGTATAATATTTATTTTAATTAATTAATAAGTTTGTTTAATTCTTAACATGTATTCTCAACAAAATCTTTGAAATAATTAATTTAATCATATTTAAGTGTCAATATAAAATTAAATAGTAATAATATAAAAAAATTAGATTGATTGGGCATTTTCACTAATAAAAATTAATTAAAAACAATTATTTTTTGTAAGTAAGTTTTAGCCACTAGGATAAAAGAAAAAAGAAAAAAAGAAAGTGACTGTAGTGATGTAAGTTTTAGCCACTAGGATAAAGGATAATGATGGATTAAAGGGTGAAATACGTTACGAAGTGAAATTGATTGATTTTAAGTTTGGTTGCGACAAATATGGGAAACGGAACCTGATTGAGAGCAATTGTTGCCCAAATCATCCCAAAGTTATCCTTAATCCTTTTGGTTAGATTTAATGACCACCATAAGGAAAACAAAACAACATTAGCCAGTAAAAAAGAAATTTCGCACAGTGAAACTGAAAACCTCACTTAATCCCACCTCCCAATAATTGCTCTAGATTTTTGAATTGAATATCGCGCAGTTACTTCTTACTTCTTACTTCTTAGTACAAAGCCATTAACAAATTACCAAATTGCAAATGTCATGTCATGTCCTAAATAGTTATTTTCGTTTTTTGTCTGAACTTGCACATCGCCCCTCTCTTTCTCTCTTTCTCCTAAATATTTAAATTTAAAAGGATGAGTAAAGCAAAAACCTTCTTTTCATTGTAGCAGGGTTTTCGTAAAACTTACAAAAAACTATTATTGACAAGGGAAAAAAGAAAAGAGCTTATTCATTGAGAGTCAGAGACAAAAGGAACATAGAAGGGAAGAGAAATGCTGGTGCCCTTTTGAACTCGAAATTGGAGGATCAGGTTCTGCAATCGAAGATCTTCAAGCGTCCTATCTCGCTACGCATTCACTTCCTCGATCGTCCCGTCTCACTCTTCAGTGTAAATATAATGTTTTTCTATTCATATTTGATTGTGTATACGCATCTTTAGGAGTGAGTGTGTGTGCATGAAACTCTGCTTTTTCTATGCATGTTTTTGGTTTTAGCTTGGTTGGTATTGCATATTGATATTGGTTTCTGACTTTTTATGCAGCATGAGAAGTTCTGTTTTTACTGAATCAGATCTATTTCTTGTTTGGCGAATTTGAATTTCTGTTTTGGTGCCATTTTGTTTACAAACTGGGATCTGTATAATCATTGGAACAGGTGGGATTTAGTAATGCACTTTTTAGTTGGTTACATAATTTAGTAAACTGTTATCGTTTCCCCTGGTATTGAAGCGTAATCTACATTCTGTCTTTGGGGTTTCTTGACTGGAGTTTTACTGATTTTGATTAAAATCAAATGAAATTGTTGATGCAGATTGCTCCTGGTTATATGATTTAGGGTCTCATTTATTAAACAAAAATGAAGTCCGACTCACCTCTTGATTGTGCTGTATTCCAATTGTCTCCGAGGCGTTCAAGGTGTGAAGCAACCTTCCTTCACATTTTCTAATTGTTTTATGGTTTTGTTGCCAACTAGAGTTGGTAATTTGTTTTTCTTGTTTCTCCTCTTTTTGAATGGGCAGATCTGAGTTGTTTGTTTCAAGGGATGGCAACAGTGAGAAACTAGCATCAGGATTAGTAAAGCCATTTGTGGCCCATTTAAAGGTTGCAGAAGAACAGATTGCACTAGCAGTCCAGTCAATTAAGCTAGAAGTTGAGAGAGATAAAAATGCTGAGACATGGTTTACAAAAGGAACACTTGAAAGGTGAATGCAATGATACTGAGGAAAAATTATATTTCTATTATGGCATTTGGTGCCTTTGTATGCAGTGATCAGTGGATTTTTTAATACTTGATTGGCCTTGGTGCTTCTAGGTTTGTGCGGTTTGTTAGCACCCCAGAGGTTTTAGAAATGGTCAATACCTTTGATGCAGAGATGTCACAATTGGAAGGAGCACGACAAATATATTCTCAGGTAACAACAGATGTATGATCAAACAGAGAAGATTAGTGCAAATAGCAGAACAAAACCATCACTTTTATTTTATTGCTGATCTCCTGTACATTTCATTTCAGGGGGAAGGTGATCCACGTACTGTTGCACAAGGTATGCTTCCTTTCAATTAAACCTTATCAAAGATTTATCATAGTTACTATGTTCTGTCTGGTATGGAGCTTATCTATTGCGTGTGTTGCTGTTTGCCTCTATACTTTGATGAATTTATCTTATCAGTTTGTACCACTATCTATTATGTAAATATGATTCTTAGTTGTTTGTATCATGCATCAAACAACTGGTTTGATTGATATGCTGATATCGCTTGGCCCTTGGATAGTTGGGGCAGGACTGGAAATAGGAATCTCCTCGGATGTAACAGTGTTTTGTCTCTGGCAAGAAGTATGGGTAGGTTCACGATTACACTTTGTTAAAAGGTGTTGAAAGGAACCTATATACGTTAAATAGACAATGCAGATAGCATATAACTTAAACCTAAAAATTACATAAGAGTTGTGGTATCTATTTATGAAAGAATAGAAGAGTCGTGGTATCTTTAGGCTAAATTTATGAGCTGGCGTATCTTTCTAAATATTTGGGCACTTTTTATGTTATCTTTGCTGTAATGATTTATTTAATTACTGCCTAATTTGATGTTAATCTATTCTGTATGTCATTTTGACGGAGGTTCTATATCTGAATAGATAGAAAAGGAAATGAAGTAATTGTAGCCATTGAGAAAAGATAAATTATTTCTTAATTACACATGCATCCATGATTGCACTAGTAGCAAACTGCTTTATATACGTTGTTAGGAGCATGTCAAAATGGGTTCAAGTATTGATACCTTGCAGAGAAACAGATACAACAAATGAAATTTATGATTATTTCACAAATCACCTGGACTCTTATATAGAGAAAATAATGATAAAGCGAATAAAATTTAGGAAAGTGAGGGCTTGTATAAATTTTATAGTAAGAAAAAGTTGAGTTTGGAATTCTAACTTTTGTCTCTCTTGTAACTAATCATAAACAATATGCCTCTCTGCACTGTGCCCTATGGATTATATAAAATGCTATATGCAGGTGATATTTGATGGCTTAATATATTAAGTGGCATGCATGGCCTTGACCTCCGGCAGAGGCTAACAAGTGCCATTTTTTACTTCAGTTGTGGTTCTTCTGGAAACCTCAAGATTTTTCTTTCAATTGATTAATCTTAGCTGATTGATACCAATAAGCTGACAATATTTTGGTCGATTTACTCCAGGTAGGGTTGGAACAGGAGCCACTGCAGCAGCCGAAGTAACTAAGTATCATTTCCACTTTACACCCTCTTTCATTTTATCCTGGTGAATTGCACCTTGCACGTGTGCCCCCCCCCCCCCCCCCCCTGGGGATGTTGGGGTTCCTCTGTTAGCAGTTGAGCAAATAAAATTTGCTCGTGCAAATCTAACTTGAGGGTTTTCTTTTTCTTTTTCTTTTTTTGAGAAAGAACTATCCTTTTTGTTATTGAGACATCGGGGTATATGATGTTAGGATATTTTAGAAAGTGGGATCAGGGAATTTGATGCAGTTTAAAACTTTAAATTGTAGCCTGGGTACTGGAAAACTTGGAGATTTCTGTGTTGGTTACTACTTGAGTGAATCGCTGGAGCTAAGTGGTAAACGACTGTTTATGTTGACTTGGATTGATTTCGTGATTAAATCTATATGTGAAATAGATAATGGAAGAGTCAGTAATTCAATATAATTCCGATTAGTTTTTTATCATTTTTTTCTGTTGAAATTTTTTGTTTTTACTTAATTATTAATCTTTTATTAAATCACTTGTACAGGAAGGAACTACTAAGGGCTATTGATATACGACTTGGTGCTGTTAGGCAGGACTTAACTGCAGCTTGTGCTCGTGCTTCGGCTGCTGGTTTTAATCCTGACACTGTTTCTGAACTGAAACATTTTGCAGATCGATTTGGTGCTCATCGCTTATAGTAAGTAGTACTCTGGAAATTTAATCTCAGGAGTCTCTTTTAAGTAACATAACTTGATTTAACATAGTCTAATAGGCTTCCTTTATGTAACTTGAAATCTTTTTCTTAATTCCTAGTGAGGGTAATTCCCATTAAATCATTATAATTAATTAATTGGATTTAATGGTAAGCTGAGAAGCTCAACGAATTGAGAAGGCACTAGAAAGGGCAGATGGTAAAACGCTAAAATATGAATTGCATGAACTGTCATTTTATGGAAGGTATGGAAGTTAGAAGTGCATTTTCTGTTGGCAAATGTTGAAAATGCTCATTAATTATTATAATTAATGTTAGAGAATAGTATAAACTATTAATGCAACCTCACTGATCATTTTAAGTTTTTGGGTTGAATTGATTTTTTATTAGAGCCTCGGTGAGGGTTCTATTCTCACCCTTTAAGCCCAGTGTGTAATTTTACTTATTATCTTAAGCTTTTGATTGAATTGGTTCTTTATCATTAATATTAGGGAAAAATATTTGTCATTTTAAATGACAAAACACTCTTTCTTTTCAAGAGAGAGACAGACACAATAAAATAAATATTTTTTTTTATTTTAAATTAAAAAAAATCACTCACTTTCTTTCTCTCATGATTTTCATTTTTCTGTGTCTATCTCGTTTAGAATGACGTAACTTATGTCGTTTAAAATTACAAACATCAAACCCATAATATTACTATGTTTATATTGAGAATCCTTAATTGAGAAAAAATAATGAATTTATTGGACGACGCAGTGAAGCTTGCAGTAAATATATGTCAATGAACGAAAGTAGAGGATGGAAGAAGGATGATGAGAGGGAAATGCGATCATCAGTTGGGTCAGACGTGTCTATTGACGAGGCTGAAGCTGCCACGTGGCAAGAAAAGAAGGAGGCGCAGCGGCTGAGCGTGCAGGATCGAATTTCTCTGTTCGAAAGCAAGCAGAAGGAGAAGGAGAAAGATAAGAAGGAGAAGAATGAGAAGGAGAAGGAGAGTTCGTTGGCGAAACCCATGGTTGGAGTTGGAGTTGGAGTTGGAGCTGGAGCTGGAAAGTCAGTGTTTCGAAGATGGAGTGACATTAGCATTGATGTGAGGGGTGACACTGACACCAAATGCCCAAGTTCCTTGTGTACTCCGCCATCTTCATTTTCTGTTTTGCATGCCACCTCTACAACTACAGCTACAATTGCAGCAATTACGGCTGAGGCTCAGGTGACGAAGGACTCTTCATTCTCTATCCAACACCAACACCAACACCAAATTAAGGTTGAGGATGAGGATTCCGGCTCTGATTCTGAACACCAACTCCCACTCCCAAAAATGAAGTACCACAAGCCCCAGCCTCAACAAATCAGCAACTCACGCACTAACACCCATGAAACTAGTGAGCTAAATCTTCCTGCTGAACAAGTTTACGAGGTAACCTCAACTGTTCCTGCTCCTTTAGAGCAAGTTCGGCATTCTAAGGGTAAGGGGGTCCATCACGATCATGAACTCAAAATGAAGGCAGATGAGCTTGAAAAGGTTTTTGCTGAGCATAAACTGTCTGCTTCTGTCTCTGTGCGGAGAATTGAGCCCCTCGTCTCCACCCCTCACTTGCATTCCACAAACACTCTGCTTCAACCAACTCGAGATGATGCTTTAAGCGACAGTTTCTCAGATCTCAACTTTGTTGATGATTCTAGAGGAGTATTTTATGACAAGTACATGAAGAAGAGGAATGCTAAACTTAGGGAAGAATGGAGTTCCAAGAGAACAGAAAAGGAAGCCTCCATGAAGGCCATGCACGATAGTCTTGAGCGGAGTAGAGCTCAGATGAAGTCCAAGTTCTCAGCATCAGGTGCTCACAAACCAAATATTAAGAGAGACCAGGTATTCTAATTCTTTACTTGTCTTATGTTTTTTTCGATAACAGCCGAGCTTTAATATTTTACAATTCCAAGTTTTCCTTTCCTGTTAATTACTTAAAACATCTTTATCGGTTCTGATATAAATCCCCTCCCCTCTCTTTCGATAGCATCCAATAGATTCCCTTCAGAATGAGAAGGATGAAGATTTTTCTGAAGAAAAGATTTATGGACAAGATAGCATATTTAGTGAATCAACTTTTGGAGATGGTGGTTCAAGGCAAAGCAAGAAAAATTTGCCTAACAGTAACAGACGTATATCTTCAGGCACACCTCGCTCAACAATCTCATCAGCCAAGATTTCCAATTCCAGTTCTGGCAGTGGCAGGCGAAGAGACAGTCCTCTTACTCAGTCTGTTCCAAACTTGTCTGATTTAAGAAAAGAAAATACACAGCCTTTTTCTGGAGTCAGTAAAACACCAACCCACCCTCAGGTGAGAAACAATGCCCGTAGCAAAGGCGCTCATATCAAGGAAGAGAAGCCAAAGCGACCTCAATCTATACGGAAGAGTTCTGCTAATCCTGCAGAGTTCAACAATTTGTCCCCTTTGAACTCAGATGGGATTGTTTTGGCTCCATTGAAATTTGATATGGAGAAGACTGATCAATTACCAAGGTCCTTACTTAAAAAGGGCTATGGCCTAGGCACTGGTGCTATCAGGATGAAAGCATCAATGGCATCTGATATCCTGAAAAATGAAGAATTTCATGAACTGGTATTTGATGTGGAAGATTCTCTGGCTATAGCCAGAAAGGAGCAGGACGAGATTGAAACTATGACTAAAAGTGGAAAGGTGACACTGAGCCTCCTATCTGAGAAATCTGGGTCTAAAATTGGGGATTCTACGAGGTCAATTTCTCAAGTAGACCCTGTTTCAGCTGCCAAAATGCCTGCTGTTATGCCATCATCTTTCAATGGTGTGGGATCTCTGCAGGACTCACCAGTTGAAAGCTCCTTGTTATGGAATTCACGCATTCCTCATCCTTTTTCTTACCCTCATGAGTCCTCTGACATTGACACTTCTATGGGTTCTCCAATTGGAAGCCCTGCATCTTGGAATTCTCATTCCCGTACCCACAGTGAGTCTGATACTGCTCGAATGAGGAAAAAATGGGGAAGTTCCCCGAAACCTGTTCTTGTTGCTAGTTCATCCCAAAATCAGCCCCGTAAGGACGTAACTAAAGGGTTTAAACGGTTACTGAATTTTGGGAGGAAAAATCGTGGGTCAGAGAGTTTGGTTGACTGGACCTCTGCTACTACTTCTGAAGGAGATGATGAAACCGAAGATGGCCGAGATCTTGCTAACCGGTCATCAGAAGACTTGAGGAAATCAAGAATGGCATTCTCTTATAGTCATCCTCCTGATGATAGCTTCAATGAAAGTGAGCTGTTCAACGAACAAGGTAACATATTCCTTTTGCTAATTCCCTGTTATTAAGCCACTTTTTTGGTTACTGCTTAGCTATTTAAGTTTAACCATTTAAGCAATTTTGTTTTACTAGTATTTTTTTGCCAACTTCCTTTGCTATTCTTCTATTAGGGAATGGATCCTCTTCTCATGCTTTCTATCTCGTTTTGGCCCTTTTGATCAAAGTTTTTCCTTTCATTGATTTTGGTGAGTGAACTAGGATAGGAAGAGGGAACGGCTTGCCAATATTATGTCTCTAATTTCATGATCATGAATTGTATTATTATCAGCGTTTTTTTGGTTGAGCATAATCATGTTTGCGTGTTTGAATTTTCACGTTTTAGTTTAGTTGAGTCGAAAAAAGGTACAATCAAATTTTAATGGATTAATTTGATTCTGAATTCTTGCAGACCAATCCTTGCAAAGCTCCATCCCGGCACCTCCTGCTCATTTTAAATTTAGGGATGACCATATGTCAGGAAGTTCATTAAAAGGTGAAGGCTAATCTTATTCTAGGTCATTTTTATCATACACTTTTGGCATAACAAGTGTCTTTCTGATGAATGAAGTAGTCGGGTACCTGGAGATGATCCTCAGTACATCTTTCTTAGTATTTCATTAATTTTGGTAGTTCCCTCTGGATTAAGGGCATGCTCTCTTGACATTGTCATTCGTGTCTTGCATAAAATGTGATTTTCACTAAAGGGAAAGTAGATTGTATACTATTTGGATTTCTTTTTCTAGATGACATTTAATACAGATTTTAGTAGCCTTCGTATGACATTAGTTACACAAATTTCAATTTGCGCAGCTCCCCGATCATTTTTCTCTCTCTCATCTTTCCGAAGCAAGGGTAATGACTCAAAGCTCAGATAAATGTCAGCAAGCGTGCTGTCAAGTAATTTGGATCATCTTCAGTGATAGGGTGTAAAGGACATTCTTAAGTATGAGACATAAATGAGAGGTAGGCATGATATCATGAGCTATATAAAAGATTTATGATGGGGTTATGTATATTTTCATGGATTCATGAGGTTTTTCCTTGTGCATTAGTTAGTACGGCTGATAATTTTATTGAAATATGCTGATACTTTATTCAATGAAGAGTTGCCAATTGGCGCACTGGGATTGTGATTTTGGCAGTACAGAGGCATTTTTTACCCTTATTTTGATTTAGTGGTGTGATGTATGTCAGAGTTGAACTCTTTTTTAAACGAATCACTCTTGTCAGAGTTAAGAAGATTGATGTGATTGCGAAGTAATATTTGCAAGAAGATTTTTCCCCTGTTCCCGTTTGAAGGGAGCTTTTGCCACTTTACTGCAGTTATTCTTTGATGGACACATTGATGTACTCTTGGCTGTCTTATCTCGGCTATTCATTTGTCTTCACGAAGCTTACATTTCAACTGCTTGTAAAACGTTGAACTGTAAATAGATTTGGCAGTGGATCCTCAGTAGTCATTACCTACCTTGTGATGTTGCGTAATTTGTTTTTTTGCTTAAAGACTCCAATATCATTATTGTAGAATGGAAAAGTTGTAATCCCATTCTATTGCACATTTTATACTCATTTTTTGTGCTTCAATCGGTTATCATTTTTTGACTCTTGGTTCTGTTTAAATAACGCTGTTCTTGCATGAGATTGAAGAATATTAATAACAGAAGTTTTACGTGAAATTCAGTCAGTGGTGAAGGTAACTTACCACTCATGTTGGATCTTGTATAATTTTATGCACATTTGCAAATGTATGATAAGAATTGGCGTCGAATGCTGTGGACTCAATTTTATTATTTAGCTTCATCTAATGCTTAAGTAGGGTTGGCAAAACGGGCCAATCCGGCTCAACCAGTGTTCAATCCGAAAAAAACAAGTCGGATTAGAGTTGATTTGTAAAATAAATGAGCCAGAAAACTCAACCCGACCCGAGTCGAGTTAGGGTTGGCTCACGGGTTGGTTCGAAAAAATAAAAAATAAAATAAAATTTCATTAATGTTATAACTTCTAAATTTTTCTCCTAAATTATTATTTCATTCAATACAAAGACATTATTCAGATAAACCATAAAAAATTTTGTATTTGGACTTGGACTTATTGGCAGTTGGCACCACATTCACAATGTCACACATACTATATAAAAAGGTCCTTAATGCACAGTTTTGGACTTATTGGCAGCTGCAGGGTATTTTTGTTTGGGTCTTTGGAATTGAAATTTTAGGTTTTAGCTTTTGAAATTTTAGGTTTTAGCTTTTCACTTTACCTTCTTTAATTTTTATACTTTTATATTAAAAAAAAACTACAACCCGCGAGCCAACCCGTTTGACCCGTGGGTTAGCTTGATTTTTTTCGAGCTGAAACGAGTCAGATTGACTCGAGTTACTAATTCATTTTTTCCTAACTTAACTCGGCTCATTTTAGCTGGGTTACGAGGCTCATTTTTTCCAAGCCTATGCTTAAGAAGGTTTCAAGAAAGAATAATTAAATATTATGTGATTATGTCACTCTAAAAAAATACAATAATTTAATATATATATATATATATATATATATATGTGTGTGTGTGTGTGTGTGTGTGTGTGTGTGTGTGTGTGTGTGTGTGTGTGTGTGTGTGGTTAATGCTTATAAGGGCATGTTTGATGCATAGTATAGGATACGGCCTGATAGTATAAGACCTGATAGTATAAGGCCTGATTGTATAAGACCTGAATGAATTTTAATATTATCCAGCGTTTGGCACGGTATTGTATTAAATAATATATTGTATAAGATAATATCATCTAGTATTTGGTAATGTACTGTATAATACTATATATGATAAAAATAAATATTTTTAATAAAAATATCCTTTAATAAAGAATTTATATAATTCTTCAAAAAATGTCATGATATTAATTTTTATAAAAATTTATTGATCAGTGTGTCCAAAATATAAATTAATTTTTATAAAAATAAAAGTCTTCATAAAAATTAATATATTGAAAAATTAATTTTTATTTTAATAGATTATAATATATTAATTTTTGAGAATTATATTAGTCAACGATGTTAATACATCAATCAAGATCTTATCAGGCCTTATCCCTCACCCTTAGGCCGGATTAAGTTATACATCGTTTTGATGTATTAAGGGATTATGTTGTATAAGCTAATACTATACGATGGTCATACCAAACAACTAAAAATGTCATAACGTATAGTATAAGCTTATACTATCATGCCTTATACGTCACAGCAAACAAGCCCTAAGAGTGAATGAGATCCAATGAAAATAAGAGAAAAAAAGTGAGATTCATTTACTTTTTTTTTTTTTGGTAAATAGATTCATTTACTTTTATATACATATTGGCTGCTTGAAAATCTTAAACTATATATATTTGTTATAAAATACACAATATCATGGTTTGTTCTTACTTTATAAAAAAGACAAGTATATAAATAGTAGTAAAGAAGTTTATTTATTTTCCCCTTTTCTCCACGCTTCACTGGGTTGGTGCAGCAAGTAGGGTGCAGTTATCGGGGGGCCAGAAGCAAAGGATTGCAATAGCCTAGGTCATAATTAAAAAATAAAGTTTTGTTCATATCGATAAATTCAAGGGTGCTACTGCTTGATGAAGCAAGCAGTGCCTTGGATGGAAAAGAAACATACTCCCTTAAATTTTATTTTCAATGATTGATATCCCTTACTAACTTTACGAGGTCCATTCATATGGAAAAGAAGAACTTTATTCATATATCTTTTTTGGAAGATATTTTTTTTTGGCGATAATGCTATATGGTGGGACTTCGTTACGGAAAATGAATGAATGACTATGCTTGTTGAGATTAGGATTGCAGATTTCTCAATCTAGTTCATTTTCTTATGTATAGTTGTAAATATGGAGAGGGCTTGTAATGACGCCACGCAAGAAATTGACATTGGAATATCCTTACCTTTCTTAATGGTTACATTGTCTCTAACTTAAAAACGAAACATGACCAGATTGAGCCCCACCAACATAGAGACCATAATGTCCATTAAATTGCTAAAAGCGTAAGGCTTTATATATATATATATATATATATATATATATATATATATATATATATATATATATATATATATTATGGTTTGGTGTTTGTCATTTTAAATGAAATAAGTTATGTCATTTTAGGAGAGAGATAGATACAAAAAAATGGAAATAATGGGAGAAAAAAAGTGGGTGATTTTTTTTAATTTAAAATTTAAATAAAAAAATTTACTTTGTGTCTATCTCTTTCTTAAAATGATATAACTTTATGTCATTTAAAATGACAAACACTTTTCCCATATATATAGTTTGTTTTTATAAAGTTACTTTAGATAATTTTATCTAATATTCATCGAAACACGACGTCTTTTTGGATCAGAAATCATAATGTGTTTGTAATTTTAATTTATTTCAGGATTATAATAGTCTTTATTATTGTAATTTTTTAATTTTTTAACTCCAAAACTACATTATTTCGGTAAATATTAGATAAAGTTGTCTAAAGTAACGTTAGATATTTTTTTCTTTATATATATAGGGGAGGGTTTTATTTACAAATTTTTTATTTACAAACTATACTATGTTCTCACGGGAGAACACTAGGTTACACTATGTTCTACGGGGAGTACATAGTGTAGTTTGTAAAAATTTATAAAAAAAAAGTGTGTAAACGGATCATTCCCTCTATATATATATATGGATTTATCATTTCTCAAGCTGCCGGAGATAAAGTTATCTCCGGCTACTAAATCATAACCGTACAAAGATGGATCAATGGTGATAAAGGAAGAAAGAGAAAAGTGGAATCATAACCATTCAAAGGTGAATCAATACATATAAAGAAATAAATAATCAAAACGACGTAGTTTTGGGGTGGCCGGAGGTAAATTTATCTCAAGCAGCTTGAGAAATGTTTTTCCCTATATATATAGGAAAAAACATTTCTAAAGCAGCTTGAGATAAGTTTATCTCCGGCTACCCCAAAACTAGGGATGGCAAAAACGAGCCAACCCGTCCTAAATGAGTCGGGTTGGGTTGGCCTAAATGAGTTGTCAACCCGACTCAACCCGACCCGATACAACCCAAACCCAAACGAGCTAGCCCGCGGGTCAAACGGGCCAGCTTGCGGGTTGGGTATTTTTTTTTTAATTCAAAAAAAAATATGATTGTATTAAAAAAAATAATAATAATATGAAAACTCCAAAACTGCCATACGCTCACATCGTCGTCACTCGTCACTTTCCTTAGCCCTAAGATTCTTCTGCCCCCTTGGATATCTTGTTCACCCTGTTACCATTAACCTTGCATCTTCGGGTCTATTGGCCTATTCTCTTAACAAACGCAATCCACTACTCCCAAGGTGCAATACCCTTTTCTCTATATTTCTCATATTTCTTTTTTATTTTCCCCCAATATATATATGAAAATGGATTCATTGTTCTTCTTCTATGTTGTTGACATTATAAGATTTGTTACTTCAATCTTTTTTCTTTTTCCAATCTGGGTACCTTTGAAGAGATCAAAGTTGGAACCTTTTGGCAGTGTTGATAATTTTAGCAGTTTTGGAGAACAAATAAGACTAGTTCCACAAAAATCAATTTTTTTGAGCCAACTCGCGAGCCAACCCACTGGCATCATTTCAAGCTAACCCGCGAGCTTTTTTTGAGCCAACCCGCGAGATTTATTCCGAGCCAACCCGCGAGCTGATTATCGAGCCAACCCGTGAGCCAACCCTACCCCGGCTCAGGTCGGGCTGGGTTGGGTTTTCTGGCTCATTTATTTTTTCGGGCCAACCCTAACCCGACCCCTTTTTTACGGGTTGAATGCGGGTTGGGCCGGGTCGAGCCGGGTTGACTCTTTTGCCAACCCTACCCAAAACTACGTCATTTTATTTATTTATTTCTTTATATTGATTGATTCACCTTTGAATATGGTTATGATTCCCTTTTTCTCTCTCTTCCTTTATCACCATTGATCCATCTTTGTACGGTTATGATTTAGTAGCCGGAGATATTATTATCTCAAGCAGCTTGAGAAACGATAAGCTCATATATATATATATATATAGAGAGAGGGGTAAGATCCTCTTACACCAGTGTAAGAGTAATAACTCTTACATTCAATCTTAACCGTTGATTTTCGCATATCTAACGGGTATAATTAATAATTAATTAATGGGAATAATCTAATTAATTACATTCGTTTGATGAACGAAAATCAACGGTTAAGATTGAGTGTAAAAAATATTACTCTTACACTGGTGTAAGTTGATCCTGTCTCATATATATATATATATATATATATATATATATATATATATATATATATATATATTATACAAGAGCTAATTTGTCATTTGGTGTCTCACAGAAAGTGTGTCACGTTTCTCACGCTTAAGAAGTATATTATGTTTCCTTGGCTTTCAAGCCAAGAGAATTTGATTGTTACGTGCCTGGCATGCAAAGCTTTAGATGTTCTTTGTTCAGCTATTGGGGAAGCAACCATAGCCATTCTGTTTTGGAAGCTAAGTAGTTTGTCATCTCTGTGACAGAATATCTTACGAGTTATAACCCCACCCCATCACCAAATAAGGCCTCTTCGATTTTGTTTTTTTGGCATTGACCCTTTATTCTCCTCCAGTCTGTCTGGTAATATTGTTCTTTCACTTCGCCTCTATAGAAAGCTTTTTTTCATTGCTTTTCTGCTTACTTTTTATTTTACACCAGGCTGCTTAATTTTCGTAGTTTGAAGATTGAAATTTTCAGTTAGTTACGTATTTGCAACATTATTTGGATCCTTCAGGTGATTAGAAAAAAGTAGAATGGGTTGGATTTTCCAACTTAAATCAGCTTAGGACACAAAAAAGATGAGTCAATTAATAGCAAAGAAGTATCCCAAACATGCATGTTTACTAACACTTTGAAGTATAATTAGAAGAATGGCATCCCTGATACCTGGAGTTCTCCTGAAGCTTCTCCAAAGTATGAACTCTAATGTAAAAGTTCGCGGGGAATACCGCTCAGTCCTTCTGCAGGTGATCAGCATCGTGCCTGCATTATCTGGGTCTGAATTATGGCCTAACCATGGTTTCTTCATAAAAGTCTCCGACTCTTCTCATTCAACCTATGTCTCACTCTCTAAGGAAGACAATGAGCTTATAATGAATAACAAGTTGCAGCTTGGCCAATTCTTTTATGTGGATAGGATCGAGGCTGGTACACCAGTCCCTATTCTTCTTGGGGTTAGACCAGTTCCTGGACGCCACCCTTTTGAAGGCAATCCTAAGGATTTAATGCAGATGTTAGAGCCATCAGAGGGTCCACTGCATCCTGATAATGATGGAGTTAATGGTTCAAAATCCATGGACTTAACAGATACCAAAGAGAATCCAAGTTCAAGGCAGAAGATTGTTATTAAAGAGGAAAAAGCTGGTGTTGCATCCAGGTACATGCAGGGTGTTCTAATTCCAAACTCAAAAGTGAATGTACCAGATACTAAAGTAGGAAGCAAAGGAAATGATTTAGAGAATGGTGTGGATGGTAAGAAGGTGGGATCTGCAAAAGGAAAGCAACAAGAGATTAAAGGTCAGGTATGATCCTAGCCGTGGATTCAATTTATGTATTGTATGATTGTAGAATTTGACCTCTTCTATTCAATTCATCCGAAGAGATTCTGTAGTGTCACCATTTCTGTATAGCAAACATGAAGATCGGGGCAGAAAGAGTAATTTAATGATTCTTTTCTGCATTGCAGCTGAAAATGATTCAATTTCATTGCTAGAATATAATAGAAAACAAATGACAAACATATTGCAGTAGAAATTAAAGGAAACAATCAAGTTTAATGATGATTTTTTTATTTGCTAACAAGAAAGACAATGCAGTGACAATGATTAGTTTTAGCATCACAGGTACTCCCAATGACTCCGACTCGTACTCGAATGGAAGCACTTTCGCCAAAGCAAGACGTTGCTCAGGAGAGTGTGATAGCACCCTCCAAGCGCACTTCTACCAAACGCAGTTCTACTAAACAGGAAAATTTGAACTTGAATGTTTTGTCCAGCAGTAAAGATAAAAGCAAAATCACTGAGGCAATTCCATGGTCCTCTTTGCCAGCCAAACTTTTGAGGCCTGGAAAGGTGCATTGGAATTTACTTTCTCCCTCTCTTTCAATGATCGTCTCCCTTATTCTCTGTAGTCACTTTGCTAATTCAAACATTATCAGAATACCAACCCAAATAAATACCTTGAACCCTTGTGTTTGTCGTCATATTAACATGATTCTTTTTCTAACAATCATATAAACCTAATTTGCTCCCTCTTGTCCACCTTATTTTCATTTTAAAAGGGAATTCTTAGAAGGAAACATCTAGCCTCTCTGGTTGTAGTAGAAGCTCAAAAGGAAGCATCTGCTGCAGCAACTGTACTCAAGTGCCTAAGGTATATAGATTTTTATCTAAATTTTGGCACACATTAGTTAATTAAATGATTTTTTCATTCTATGGAATTAACAAATACTTCATGAGTTCATTCTTTGGTGGTTTTCTACCTTCAGTTATTACCTGTATCTTTCCTTTTCAGTATGTTCGCCAATATCTGCTCTTCAGCAGCATCAGAGAACCCCCATGTCACACTGAACAAGTTTTTTTCTCTTCAACAGCTCATGGACCAGCCAAATGGTACAATTCAGTTGAAAGATAAATCATTTCAACTAGATAAGATTCCATCTCCTGCAGAAAAACATAAACCTGGCAAAAAGGCAGGTTTAATGCCAAATAAAAGCACACCAAAGACTCCAAGACCCTTAACCGAATTATCAGAGACTGAGAAACAAGAATGGGCTAAAGGCGATGGTATAAAAGAGATCAATGAGCTGAGAGAAGTATTTTTGAATGAAACAAGATCATGGTTTTTGAAGTACTTGGAAAAGACATTGGATGCTGGGTTTTCCGTGGGCACCCAAGCGAAGGGCAAGGAGAGTAAAGATTTTGCAGGGAGACAAATGGACCAAGCCAACCATATAGCTCTCACGTTGTCCCACCTTAAGCATGCAAACGACTGGCTGGACAATCTGAGAAGCAGTTTAAACTCAGAAAGTGAGGGGCTGGTGGAGGCTGTTGAAAGACTGAAGCAAAAAGTTTATTCTTGCTTGCTTGTACATGTGGATTCTGCTGCATTAGCTTTGGAGAACCGAGCTTGATTATAGGACTAGAAACCGCTTTACAACAATATAACTACAAGTCTAATGCTATTTATAAGTTAAATTATACAATTTGGTTGAGCCAAGTATTGCTAATGGAAGCTTAGCTTGCTCTGTTTATAAGTGGGGATGGGATATGTTATGCTATTTGTTCCCAAACACGAATAAATAAGGGACTGACTTGAAGTTAAATTTCAATTTCCCTTACAAATCAAAATAAAGAACAGCCTTTCATGGCTCTTGTTCGATCATTCAAAGTTGAAATTATATGATTTTCTGATTGATGCTTGTTGATAAGCACATGTGCAGCCAGTGACGCAGATTAGAAAGCTTTTGATTCGAGGAATAGACGTGCTATTGACAATGTTTGACTGAATGTGATAATCGTAAAGAATACTTCGTTCAATTGGAAATCCTTAATAGTCAATACATGCACAGCACCAGGAAGAACTTACATGGTGATTGACAAAATGATTTATCCAAGCATATTGGAAAAATTCTAGTAATAAGGGAAGGAGGGGATCCACGACGGAGAGAATTTGGGAACTGAAGAAAGCAGAATTTAAAAGGGGTTTAAAGTGATTGCTTTTGAAAGCAATGATAAACTATACAGACTGAGAAATTCAAGATCTAAACCCAAAATGGCTACAAAAATAGCACAGCATTACAACCCCCAAATAGCATATGACATTGTGCAACCTTGCTTACAAGATAGATAGGTAGCACACTATGGTAGTTAGAACAGAAACAATTGAAAGCATATATATAGCAAAGGCGTTTTTAATACTGTCTGAAAGTAAGATTCAATCGGCCAGGGCGTAGATTAGTTTCTTCGAGCAGGAGCTTGGGGGCAGTCATTGAATGAATAGCAGTTACGCCATGAAATATATTTCTAGACTTTCCGGCAAAGATCAAAACATCTCCTGATTCTAGTACAACTTTTTGTGCCTTGTCAACATCCCTCTCATCACCATACAAAAAGTCTGCTGAGTCTCCAATAGAGAAGGATACCACTGGCAAGCCTTGTCGAAGACTTTCTACACTTTCATCCTTGTCCTGCATCCACAGTCCAAAATATGATTACAAAAAAGTATGCACACAGCAGTTGACAATGATTCAATGAGAATATTATATATATACATGCCTGATGAAGACCTAGTCGGCCATTTTGTGAGTAGAAATTGACAATACAAATGTCGGATGACATGGAGGGAAGTATGTTGTGTGGATTAGTGGTTTTAGAATGTTGTTGAATGAGAACATTGGAATCCCCGATTGCTTTCTGAATTAAGTCATGGAATTCAACAGGAATGTCGGGTGGCTCTGCTCCATCAGAAGGGCGTAGGTGTCCATATTGACTTGTCTGAGGATCCCAGTTTTTGCCGAGACACATCATCTTCAAATGCAGTTTTGTCCCTTCAACATAACCAGGCTGGTAGAATCCTCCACAACCCAACCCCAAATTCCTGCATTTTTTCACTATCTTGACCTGATCGCTTAAGGAAATGTAACCCTTCAATAGGACCATCCCAGGCCTCAAAACAGATCCTTTATTACTGCTACTGCAGCCTTTCATTTGTTTCCTTATTTCTCTGTTCTTTACAAGCAAAGGAGCTTTCAAAACAACCGTTCCTCCGCCTTGTTTAGGGGGGCAAATATCAAAGGGTGGCTCCTTCTCTGTTTGTGTTCCCATTCCATGGCTAATGCTAGTAGTGATCGTTTGTGAATTATTATTATCATCATCATCATCATCATTATCCTCATGAGAGTGAGAGTGAGACATTCCACTACAATCAGGATGAGGTGATCCTGACTTTTGCTGCCAAATTTTTCTTCCATCTTTAGTAACCCTAGAATTACTGCGACTGCCACTCACAGAAGATTGTTCATCTCCCACAACCTACACCCAAAGCCATCGATCAATGAATCATATGATATCAAGACACGACATAAAATAATTTAAAAACCCTAATTTCTTGATAAAAAGATAAATACGAATTAATTACCGGAGGTGGTGAAGCGGTAGGAGTAGGATGGTTCACACGCCCAGGACCATAACCCCGAGGTTGCCAAGCTCCACCATCCATTGCGGTGCCGGTGGCTGAGGAGTGACGCTGCAACCAAATTATTATTAATCACACTCAACCGTCAACACTGCGTAATCAGTAATCAATCAAATTATTAATCCTCCCAACGAATTGTCAAAAGAAGGTGTAGAGGCCCTAGGGTTCTCAAATTTCCGAAGTGACCTTTTTTTGGTACAATCCCAATTCCCAATTCCCAAGTGTCTTTTGGGTTACCGACCTTTCCTTTTCCGCTGGCACTCTCCCCAACAACCCCCCATCATCGGCCCACACTTCCAAGTATTACGTAAAAATGTGAGACTTTAATGTCTGTTGAGATCCAATGAGCTCAAACGACATTGTTTTGAAGTTAAGATTTTTTTTTTTATTTTAATTTATTTTAAGATTATATTAATTTTTACTATTATAATTTTTTAATTTGTCAATTTAAAATAATATTATTTTGAATTTATTGAATATAATTTAATCTTCGATAACTAAACAAATATTGATCTCAATATGTATATACATATTCTTCTAGGTTGTTACAACATTTTTTTTAATCACACTTTCATCATCAATTATAATTCTCCCTGGATTTTATTATTTATATCCTTCACTTGTTAGCTACTTGTCATTCAAATTATTGGCATAAAACAAGGGCACAAAACTTCTCTTTTGACGTGAGGAGGTTTTTTTTTTGTTGTAGAAAGAATTTTTCGGTGAAGTCTACTGGTTGTTTTAAAAAAAAAAAAAAAAAAAAACTAAACAAAAGGCAAATTACACATTTCATGCTTGTAGAATGTGAATGGTGCACCAAAAAAGTTTCTCTTATAAAAAGAGAAGTTGTTTAACCATAAAACAATGGGGTGCATGAGAATTATTTTTATGTTGTGATCTTTTGATTTACATGTAATATTTTATTTTTAATAAGTGTGGAGTTCATCACTAATTGAGTCATAATATGAAAAAAATAATTTTTCTCAAACATGAAAAAACAAAACCCTAAAACAATAGTTACAAATTTATTTAAAAGTTGTATATAAAAATAAATACTTTAAACATTACACGAAAAAAAAAGTAGTATATTAAAATTAAATACTTTAGGTGGTGTTTGGTTGGGAGCTTTTCAGCGGATATCTATCTTTCTCAAGTATGGCTTTTAGAAATACCATATTTGTTTCAACGTTTTTCACCAAAAACCCATCTATCCAATTTGTCTGGATTTATGAGAAACATAGATATCTGCACTGTTTAATGCACTGTTGATTTCATAAAGTTACCTAATTTTCTCAATAAAATTTTTTCCCACCAAATAAATTTTTTTTTTATATTTTTTTACCTATCTCACTTTATCTATCTTTCCAATCATTTCTCTACTATTCCAAAAAAATTTCCTGAAACAAACGCTAAATGCAGTCTAGGATTCAGACGTGATGTTGGCAAAATTAAAAATTCGACAAGTCAGAATGTGTCTTTTTTAATATTATATTTTTTCTTTACAGATTTTCCTATTTTTATTTGGAGGAAGACTATTTTAGATCAATATAAATTATATTCTTAATTTTTATTGTTAATTATATTTGTATCTAATGCTTATATAATTAATAAATTAAAGTAATTGTTAGTCACGTTGCTCACTAGGCATGATGAGAAAGATTGTGAGACATCTTTGGTGGGTCGAATTCGAGCAATAATCAATCGTAACTGGCAAGCTCACTTTATTCATATGTTAAGGGAGATCAATTATTGCGCCGATTACCTGGTAAATCTCCTGCTAGATTGCTTAGATATCGATGATTATTTTGGCTTCTCAGAACCTCTTCATGGATTACTCTTACTTTTGCTTGTAGGCTCCTCATCCACTCTTCGAGTTAGAGGTGTCGGTTGATTCTTTTGCTTTTCTTCATGTATCAAAATAAAATAAATAAAGGGCGATCATTTTCTCTTTTTAAAAAGAAAATTTTTCTCCTTCTAGTGAGCATAATTGGGTCTCACCTTGAATTTTTTTTCTCTTCACTATTTTGTAAACCTCACTTATACCAAGAATCACTAGTCCGAGAAAAAATTTCTCTTTAAAAGGAAAAAAAAGTTTTCTCATAAATTGAAGTAATTAAATATTAAGAGATTCATTGTGATTAGGATTGAATGCAAGATTTATTAATCTTATACAATATGAGTGATTACGTTTTTTTTTTTTTTTTGATACATGATCATGCTCTTCTTTCATTAACTAGAATTCGTGTATTTTGTAATATACAATATGAGTGATCATGATTTTTTTATAAAGTTATATTTTGGTCATTAAATTGTTTAAACTCACAGTTTATTCAAGATTTGAATTATTTATATACTTTTTAATATTAAATATTTTAAATTAATTTTTTGTTATCCCAATTTAATATATTAAAATAAAATATATTCTTTACATCTGAAATTAAATATGATAATAGTCTCTTAAAAACCATGCATCCTGATTGGTTTCATAAAATTGGCATATAATAAGTGTTTCATTTGGAGATATTGTAAGAAAACGTGATTATTTAATTATATATTATAACATATTATTTTGACTTTATAAATAAACATTTAATAAACCAAACTCTTTTAATAACACGATAATATATAATTTAGGAAGTACGTAAATATATAAATCCGCGATTAGGACATGACATAATGCCAATATTTAGATACAGAAAATTTTAAAAATTATGGGATGTGATACGTTTAAAATAGATCTTTAAAAATATAATATTAAACAGTGATAAATATATTAATGTTTGATATGTTAGTTGTCCACGTAATATTTATTTTATTATTGTGTTATCAACATACATGTATTGATATAAAATTTTCAAAATAGTTGAAAATATCAAAATATGATATCTGCCAGATACTGACACAAAAAATAATTTAAAATATTAGAATTAATAAAGTAATGTCAAGGGAATTATATGAAATATCAAATAATTTTTGATTTTAAATTATTTGATAATATTATTTTTTCGGTTTTTTGTAAAATAAGATAGAAAAAAATAAGTAAACATAAGTCAGCTATTTTTTATTTTATTTTTGGTGAGGAAAGTCAGCTATTCTACTTCTCATAGGTAGTTATACTAATATTTATTTATAATAATTATGTTTTTACAATTTAAAAAAAAGAGTTTGTTTTTCTTGTAGTTATTGCAGATTTTTTTTTTTTGCAACTGACATAAAAAAGTGAAATCCATTCAATTTTTTTAAAATTCAAGATTAGTCGATGTATCGTGACTTTTTTATGTGTTGCTGTAGAATTTTTTTATTTTTTTTAGGTAGCAAAAACAAAGCTATATTCCCTTTAAAAAACAATTATTTCCCAACGTCGGAAATTTCTACAATACTACTGTCTTATCCACTTTTCTATACATCCCTCTAATATAAATTAAACACCTATGCTGCTGATTGATGACATGGAAAAGAAAAAAAAATTATTAAAAACAAGTGTTTAATTTTCAATCACAATAATGTTATTGAAGACAGTGGGTGATATTAAATCACTAAGAGGCTTGAACCCATGAATAAACCAGAAGGGAGTAGATGATCAGAATTGTCACAGTGCAATTAAAAATATTAAAAAAAAACAGACTTACTTGTCAGATATATGAGACAAAATGATAATGATATGCAGTATCAGAGGAATAAAAATCCGAGCCCACAGAACGTGTCTCCTTAAGACAATTTGCCCCATCATCGATGCCAAAGGTTGATGGACACTTGTCTCCCAGGATAGAACGGATTTCGTCTGAAGAGTGGCGGCACTACCAGTCAACAGCCCAAACGAACACAACAAAATGCCAGAGGAAATCACACCAGAGTATGAACAGGAATATGCAAACCGGAAGGAGAAAAATCCCGGCAGAGTTTCAGTGCAGAAAAAATTGGATCCATTTTCTGAAGGTGTCATTGTCTATTTATAGACAACGTAAAGTCACGTTCCAAAAGGCACCTATTCGACGACGAAACAACACATCCGTTGGACACGAAAAGACACATTCGTTCGACACGAAAAGACACATTCGTTCAACACGAAAATACACTCATTCAAGGATGAAACAACATGTCCGTTAGGATGAAAAGATACATCTGTTTGTCGACGAAAAGGCACACCTTTTCACTACCAAATTTCTTATTCATAACCAATAGATTGTCTATACAATTTATATATATATATATATATATATATATATTTATATATATATATATATATATATATATTCCAACAATCCCCCACATGGATAAGAAGTCAAATCATCGTGACAAAAAATGCACACGAGTATAAATGCAAAGTGTAATTTCCTCAACGAGAAACAACTGCATCGAGACAGGTGGAGTTACCTTTGAACCTTCTCTAGTGAAAACCTATCGGATATACTCGGTCAATCGGTGGTCTAGGTCGACTTGAACCGTCAACCTTTAGTGTATACCTAGACAATAGGAGTCACACAATTGCTTCTCTAGCATTGTTGGTCCTTTGTTGCGCCCATTTTGGCCGTGGGACACCTGCCTGGTTCTGCGAGTGTTTTAGAGAATCGGCCTTTGAAAAATTCTCATAGAAGCGGCCCTCACTTCACACTCACATAGGTGATTTCTTGTGATGTAACTCACTATACATCATCTGAACACAACAGATTAAGAAATCATTAAAAGCCTAAGTGCTTACCCTCATAAATACACTGTCTTGTCTTAGGAATGAGTATGAGTTTAAAAACTCCACAGTGTTTAAACAGTCGACCATCACTTAGTTGTCTCTTTGAACCTAGTTCATGGAATCTCCACTCTTCTAGATAGAGTTACCGCAATGCTCAACAATTGATAGGCCTTAAACCCATTCCTTTCGACAAATTTTCAACCAACTCTCTAGGAATCCCTTTGGTTAACGGATCCGCTATGTTTTCCTTAGACTTAACATAGTCAATTGAAATGATTCCATTCGAGAGTAGTTGTCTTACGGTATCATGTCTACGACGTATGTGTCTAGACTTACCGTTATACATGACGTTCTTGGCCCTTCCAATAGCTGCTTGGCTATCACAATGTATGCATACAGATGGTACCGGTCTTGGCCAATTAGGAACATCCTCAATAAAATTACGAAGCCATTCGGCTTCTTCACCGGCCTTATCTAAAGCAATAAATTCTGCTTCCATGGTTGACATTGCAATGCAGGTTTGCTTGGACGATTTCCAAGACACAGCACCTCCACCAAGGGCGAACACATATCCACTTGCGGATCTAGTGTCGTTAGAG